TATATCCTAACCAAAAAGCTGTTAACTTGAAAATTACTGCTTCATGACATCATAAGGTGGAACAGAGCATTGTGAGCTTTGAAGATGTACACAGACTAATAATAAATGGTTACTTAAACATGCATGAATGATGCAACACTTGGTATGTTTCTGAGGAAGTAACAACATTACAACATGGCTTAAAGCTCACAAGAATCATTTTTACATAATGTAGGACCTTTAATGTAATCATATTTCATAAAAGCTCTAATTACATGACTCTTGACTTCATATCTCAAACAGTTTGAGTCAATGATCTTAATACAAATGAGGCAACTATTCCCCCCATTACACTGTATGTGCACTGTATCCCCATATCATAGCTGGTGTGTGCATTAGCTGTGATAATTGATACCCCAGTGACATGTGTTCTCCATCTGTTCTTCCTCTGAAATAGACCGTGCCTTTCCTGCTCCCACGTAACCTGCTCACCTCCGCCATGTTCTGTGCTCTCCGCCTCCTTACTCTTCACGCTGTCAGCACTTTCTCTTTGTACACCTGCGCGCTCCACACCTATCTATTACACCGCTCACACATATCTCAAACATTCTTTCATTTACTGTGCATTTTTCCCTTTTCTCTACTTTTATTATATATGTATATGGTACAACAAATAATGAACACAGAATGAATTTCATCTTTACTTAGCCTTAGCACAACTCATGACTTATTATTAAAGATGTAGCAGGATGTGTACTGGTAGTAGCATTTTCTTTTGACTGGTCTTGATTAATTAAGTTTGTATAGAACAAATTTGAACATTCACTACGTTTACATGCATGAAAGGAAAATATTAACTCCCCTAGTCCATTTTAAAATGTTTAAAAAAAACCCCATGAACTATGAGATCTCCCTGATCCCAATAACACATCTGTAGAACTCTGTGTACTCTGATGCGAACGGCATGTAACAGCACAGTCTGATAATGCTATAAGCAGACTAGCAGCAGCCAGGAAAATATGACGTATTTGTTTGTATTCACTTATTTTAGATTAGCAGCTATAAACTACACCCCCTCCACCATGGACTCGCTTGTGTTGATTCATTGTTTTCATCCCCTGTGGTAAAGTGAGTAAAGTACACCAGAGCTTCAATGTGTTTATGTGCTTAGGGGAGAGCAAAAAACTTCTGAGCATGAAATGTGCTGTCATATATCTGCATAAGATCTACATAAATGAGATGGCACTTATCAATGTTTGCCAAAAGTGGAGTTATATGTATGGTAGTATGATACTTTTTATTAGCAATTATAGCAACACAGTTTTTGCAGTAAGGCTAAATTACTAGATACCCCCGAATGTCTCTTAGCCCCCTGTTCACACCTATTCAGTTCTTAGAGCTGCGTATAGACTGGGACAAGCATGATCTGACAAGTTCTGTGGAAAAGCGAGACAAAAATCAGATGAAGAGCGCACTCTGAGCTACCTGTGCATGTAAATGTGATTGTGTAAACCGTGTTAGCAATTATGGAGTATATGGTCTTCAACTGATGTGCTTCAGGGTTAGTGGAGCAGTTAATTAAGACAAGTTATTTCACATAGTGACATACTATGCGATAATGAGATTATGTGTGAGGTTAATTAGAACAACAACAAGAAAAGCTCAAGACTTTCTTCGGTGAACTTTAACATTATGCATATACTCACATCCATAGTAGAGCTTCTCTCAATCAAACCAATGGATATTGCAGTAATATACAGTGGGGGATGAAGTACTCAATTCTGTTACTTAAGTACAAGTACAGACACCGGGGCAAAAGATTATTTAAGTAAAAGTAAAAGTATCATATGAAAAGTATTAAAAGTATTTTGCAGAGAGTTTTAGAATAATTAAAGCATGAAATGTAGTAATTTTGATAATGAGTTAAGCAGATTTTAAGTGATTCAAGTCATTTTTAAAAAAATTTCTAGCTGTTTTGTGTTTTTGTGTATTTGGTTTGCTCAAAGTTGGGACGTTAATTTAAACTAAATGTGCTAAAAATAAGTCTCAGCCAAAAGTATTTTCTACTTTTCAATCCAGATCTAAAATGTAGTGGTGTAGTATGGAGTAAGAAAGCTGTCAAAAATATTCGTGCGCGTAAAATAGAAATCCGTGCGTATTTGGGAAATCCGTGCATATTTGGCTGTAGTTGCGCATAAAATAAATATTTGTAAACTCTCAAATGACTCCAGTCGTACATAAAATATATTGTGTGTATTTTATCCATCAGAATACGAACTGAAAAATTACGACGTCATGAATTACAATCACGAAATGAAAATTTACGATTACGCTTTCATCAGTACAAATACGAATTCACAGACGGAACTTTACTGTCAAAAATACGTCATCATTTCACAGACATTATCCATCGAGCAGAAGAAACATCGATCAAGATCAAGACTGCGCAGCTCAAGTTTGTAGCAGAGGGTAAAAACAGAGTAATAGCACAAGAAGCTACAACAGCGACCAACAAGTGGGTCAATTAAAATCTATTGTAAAAATGTCTTGAATTCGGGAACCGAACGCTTCTGTATAATATTGTGTAGAAACACCTCCTTTGAACGGGAAATTGCACCTATATGTTAGATAACATAGTGGTAGCCAGTTGGCTAACATCCGACGTAACGTTATCCCAGGGCTAATTAGCAAATATCAGGTTCTCTGTATGTTTAGATTAAAACATTCACGGCTACAGCCACAGCGAGCATCAGTCAGTCTTAACCTTCATCTCAGCTGCATTTCAGACAATGGGTTATACATGAGTTATAATGGGTTATAATTAGCAAATCCATCCACGTTACAGTGACGTTAAACTTACCGGTAAATACTGTAAACATACCAAGGTGTTGCCTGTAAACACGAACATTAATTGTTGCTGGAAGCTGCATTAAACTGTAATGTGTAACATTTCATTGGCTGTGACGTCGTAACCAGGACAGTTTGGTAGTGTTTGGCGTAAACTGGGACATTTCAGCGTCCCGAGGAACTTTTGGTGGCATTTCATGCAAGAAATGCAGCTGAAGTGAAGACTGACTGATGCTCGCTGTGGCTGTAGCCGTGAATGTTTTAATCTAAACATACAGAGAACCTGATATTTGCTAATTAGCCCTGGGATAACGTTACGTCGGATGTTAGCCAACTGGCTACCACTATGTTATCTAACATATAGGTGCAATTTCCCGTTCAAAGGAGGTGTTTCTACACAATATTATACAGCAGCGTTCGGTTCCCGAATTCAAAACATTTTTACAATAGATTTTAATTAACCCACTTGTTGGTCGCTGTTGTAGCTTCTTGTGCTATTACTCTGTTTTTACCCTCTGCTACAAACTTGAGCTGCGCAGTCTTGATCTTGATTGATGTTTCTTCTGCTCGATGAATAATGTCTGTGAAGTGATGACGTATTTTTGACAGTAAAGTTCCGTCTGTGAATTCGTATTCGTACTGATGAAAGCGTAATCGTAAATTTTCATTTCGTGATTGTAATTCATGACGTCGTAATTTTTCAATTCGTATTCTGATGGATAAAATACACACAATATATTTTATGTACGACTGGAGTCATTTGAGAGTTTACAAATATTTATTTTATGCGCAACTACAGCCAGATATGCACGGATTTCCCAAATACGCACGGATTTCTATTTTACGCGCACGAATATTTTTGACAGCTTTCTTACTCCATAGTGTAGACAGTACAGACACATGTTCTCAAATGTAGTAAAGTAAAAGTGAAAGTATTCACTGTAAAATGTACTTAAGTAAAGTACAGATACTTAAAAATTTTACTTAAGTATTGCACTTTTACTTTTGTCCTACACTTGTAATATAACATCATGACACATTCAGTTCTCCACTGCACCATAGCTGTCGAGGTATCACAATGTCCTGACTCCTATACAGTGCACCAAATCCTTATGAAATATATGCATTCCCCTTCCTCACAGCCCCCCTCCGCCCTCAACTGTGCTCAGTGCCTCTAGTGCCTGCAGGCTGCTCCCTCTACTCTTCATCTTCAGACACTGACAGGATGACAACCACAAATTAGCTGCCAATTACACAGATCTGAGTGACTTGTTTGCTGGTAAACTTAAGCAGCAGGCAGACATTGGACTGAGACTCCCACAAGTAATTCCATATCACAAAATAAGCACCGAGCCCTCGAGTAAAATAGCAATGCAATTTCAACATTTTGGTTTTCCTTTTTAATAAGTCTTTTATTTGGACTCTTCTGGTTTAAAGACATCTTTTCAGTAACTGGCTTTGCTCTCATTTTAATGGGACACAAAGGGGAAGCTTATTAAAGATACATCCTTGGTAATAATAAGGGTCACTGCAGGAGAGTGCTCCATCCAAACTCAGCCTTCTTCAAAATGCTCTAGGCGTCTGCACTGCATTATAAAGGACCGGATTTTAAAATGATAATATGAGGAAGGGTACACATAACAGACATAATATTATGACCACCTAATATGCAGCACGCAATTTTTCATATTGTTTTATTAGAACCAGTTCAATAATGAAAAAACAAACTGAAGAATACACTGAATCCACAGACTGTATAAATAAATTGACATAGTTAACCTACTAGCCGCCACATTCCAAATAGTTGTTGGTGCTAGTAAGTAAGTAAGTAGACAGTAAGCTCATTTTGGTCTTAAAATGTTCGTATTAACCCTCTCTGCTTGATTCTTCACCATTTTGTCTGTTAAAAAAAACTAATCGTAATATAGAGACTGCCTCCATATTTGTCCCTATAACTGCTAGTACAGGAGCCGAACACCATGGGTGATGTCACAGTCCCTTAGTCCACTTCTTTATAGTCTTGAACCTAAAACAAATCTTGTACCTGTACTTCCTGTGTCCTATCTCTGTTTGCAAATCATAGCCATTCATATAAATGAGCCCACTCTAGTCAGTCATCACAGCTCACTATTAAGTGTAAATTGCACATTGTAGATTTGAATTTTCTCACTTACCAGCCGGTGTTGAACTCAACGTGAGCATCGAAGAAGCCGACTACAGCAGCTGTAGCAGCATTCCAGCCATGGATCCTAGCCCTGATCAGACCCTCACGTTTGCTATTCCTCACAATCTTCACCAAACCCGGGTAACGCTTGTTCACGTACTGGTCCAGGTTGAACTTCAGCTCAACTGAAAGAAAGAAAACGAGTAAGAGGGACTGGATAATAGTGCAGAGACATTACTTCCATTGATTATAAGTTATCACTTGCACACCCACCGCATCAAAACTGAAACTAAACCTGGAAATAAACCTGGACAACCAGGACTTGACCAAGTCTACATGAAGACAAGGCAACAGTGTTTGGTTGGAAGATCAGTTCCTGCTTGGACCAACTTCTGTCTTTTTGTCCTTAGGCAAGATACTTAACCCGCCTCGCCAAGTATGAAAGTGGCACGTGCATGAGTGATTGATGGTGGCTGGGGGAGCCGATGGCACATAGTGACAGCCTTGCTTGAGTCAGTCTGTCCCAGAGCAGCTGTGGCTTACAACCACCAAATGTGGAGTAAATGAATAATGACTACAGTGCGGAGCTTTGTCGAATCTGTAAAACACGTGTAAGGTGTTATAATAAGACTGTGTGTGTGAAAATGTATTTATCATGTGAGGTTATCAAGTTGAAATGGAGTTAGTGAAGCTGACACTCTGAAAGTAATGAGAATTTAACAAGAAGAAATGTGTTTGCTAAAGTTAGTTAGCTACAGGTTCATGCATAAATAGGAGAGATAAGAAGATTACTTTTATTATGTATTATCCATCATGTGTTTGTGAGATTTCCAAATTTAAGAAAAAACCTTGCAGCATGTTTTGATACGCAGCCATGCAAATTACAAAAGCGGGTACAAATGTTCAAAAATAACTCTCAAATTAAACTGTGAGCTGGTATGAAAAGAGTCTTTAGCTCATTATCAAAATTAACTCAACACTGTACAAGACCTTCACCAATGAAAAGTCAGAATCTAGTATCACAACCTTGAATTAATCAGCACCTGAGGGCAGAAAAGAAGAGAGTTGCTTTACTTTTAGGTTAACCATTTTGTACCTAATGGTATTCACATTGTGCTTGAGTTGAGTATTACTCTACTTATCTATGTTATAATGTTTTGTCATCTGAGATATACCTAGAGTTTTGTTTCATTCACACATGCTTAATACACAAATCCTGCATATCTCGTTATTTTCTCAACCTGAAAACACTCTGTTCCACCTTATGATGTCATGTGGTAATACAAGAAGTGGTCCACTGTGTTTTTAAAGTTCATACAAAACTTCACAAGAATAATTTGGATGATTTCAACCACTGGAATTGCAAATCTCTACTGAGCTAAAGGGAAAAGGTAGCTGTGTTGTAATGTGAAAACTATCACTGCATGATATCCGAAGGTGGAACAGAGCATTTGAGCTTTGGGGATGTAAACAAACTAATAATGACAGTAATTCTGGTATTACTCAAACATATGTAAATGAGAGAAAACACAATTCGAGTATGTTTTTGATAACTGAACTGAATATGACTGAAATCTCACAGGAATCCATTTTGTGCAATATAGGACTTTTAAATATTTTAGGAAAAAATACAACAGTCTAACCTATAGCCTCCTTTTGTGTCTTTTGCAGTTCACTCTGATCCCACAGCATCACTGCCACTAGATTATAACATCTTTCTTGGTTTATGCTCACAAAGGTGCGGCTGTCATCACTGGAAACAAAGTTGCTCTCCCAAACAGTCAGCTGCACAAATTGCTGTCTGTGTCAGTTGCGAGGATAGATGAGTGCTTTAGCTGTTCCTCCGGGTTACTGCTGAGAGATCCACTTTCCCACATGGAGAATAATAAGGAAGCTGGTGGCGTCTACACCTAACTCCTGACTTGGGTTCGCCACATTAATCACAGTTAGAAAGAAAAAAGTAGTGAGGGATGGTAGAGTGATCCCTTGTCTGCGAGTGAGGAGACACAGAAAGCTCCGGATCAGGATCTGAAGAACAGTGAGGTGTGAAGAGGAGAGATGGGTAAGTCAGGAGGTAAAGGTAAAAGACTATACTACTTGTGTTGAGGGCTGTCAAAAGTATCAAAAATTAGATACAAATCAATATTAGAACTAGTATCAAAGTTAGATAGTCATTTGAGCAAGTATCGGCACTAAAAAGTCTCATTCACAGGACAGAAATGAACCTTCTTTTCGGAATAAATTTAGAATGATCTTAATCTGTATCTACCCACAGACCAGTTTATGGAAGCTATCTGGATGACTGAGGGACTACAAGACCACATGGTGATATAAAAGTTTAATCTGATTTGTTTAAATTATAATCATGGCATTGAAATCTGTATTAAGTATTGAGTAGATTCCCTAGTATGGAAACTCAGTATGAAATTTTAGTACCGTGACAACACTAGTTATTATTAAGAATAAATTTTGGTGGCTATGTCCTTAATGAGATAGAATTCTGGTAACACTTCATGGTAACTATACAATAATTAACCTTAATAAAGAATGAAAACTAATTAGCAAATAGTCAATTAAGAATAATGAAGGCTTAGTAACTACCATTATGGAACTTTAACTAATAACCACTTAATTGAATAAATGTTTGTCCAGTTGACAAATTGAATTTCTCCTTTGCCATGGATTCTACCTGGACAACTGAGGGATTTTACATACACTTAATTAAGTAGTTACTAAGCCTCAATCATTCTTAAGTATTACAGAATTTCTAGTTAGCCCTATAATAAAACTATGAAGATTTTAAAATGCTAAGTACTTGTTGGCTTTTCTTCTACAGTTTTCTGACACAAACAGTGCAGAAAAAATGCATTTACCGCTAGTGACTCAGCAGCAAATCTTGTCTGATTTGTTTACTTTTTTAAATGACTTTGTTTTTTGATGTTCAATCCCCATCTCTGTTGCTCTCTTTGTATTTATCTTCATAGAAACATACAAAAATAGAAAACCCTAGCTAGGTTGTTTTATCTTGGAGCATGTTATTTTCAAGCCCAAATCTAAGACTCTTGTAATTAAGGCTATTAGGGTGAGTCATTTCCTCCATCTAGTTAGTATTTTAAGAGGTGTCGACAGTTGAGAGTGAAAACATAGGGGAAGGAATGATTATGTACAGGACTTGCCACGAACTGCTTTCGTTCAAAATGTAAACCACTTTCCTATCTATGGGTTTATAAATAATAAGAAATTAGGACTGTTGCCATAGAGATAAATAACTTATAAAATAAAATATCTTCTGAAGGGTGAAAAGTCCTCAAAATGATGCATATAACAGGACCCAGAATAGAAGGGGAGAGTATTTTCTGGATCACAGTTTAGTCTGTAGGGGATATCTGGGGTGCATTTGGAGCCACTGACCCTTTAAGTAAACCGGTCACAACATTTGACACTGAATTAAACAAGTGCAGAGTCATGAAAAGCTGGATTCTGTCTCTGGAGCCAAACTGATCTCCAAGTGAATTTTCCACATCGACTCTCCTCTTCAATGACTCCAAGGTTATAGATCACAATCACCTTTTTATATCGCTCGTAGTGTGGTCTATATACTGCTGAAGTTTTATACAGTCCATAGATTTGATGTATTGGTTTTCAAAGTTGCACACTGAAGATAAAGTAATCCACATTCAATAGCGGCAGAAGCAGTAAACAAAATGGCCACATGTGATTACCTGGAGCCTGCACCTTCAACAGAACAAATCAATGTGAGATGCAATTCCACAGTGAGGCGCCGCTTATTTTCAGAGTTTATGAACAAAAGACTATTGACTGTCCACACATTTGTGCTCTTCTACAGATGCATATTGTTAGTTTACAGCATTTGTGGTCGAAAAACACTGAGGAGAAAACTTAAAAGTAAAAATAAAGTGCTGAGTTTATTATTTCATTTTCATAGCTGTTATCTTCTATTTTTATAGCATGACAGTATAGAAATAAAAAAGCGATTATGTTACTATAAGGAATATCTATAAATACAAACAATACTGAGCTACTATTCAAAATGGCCACTTATATTGCACTGTATGGGGTCTAATATAAGTGGAATCCAGGGCTGAGCACATACAAGAAAATTGAATTTGAAAGCTGTGTTACTGAACCACATAAATTCCACATAAATCATTATTATTTTAGCATGACATTTTCTTTTCAATACAGTATGAATTATTATTGGGGTACTGCAGAGGTAGTGATGACACTTTTATGGGATCCGAATATTTTGGATCCTTTCATGTCAAAGAGCCGTTCAAAAAACTGGCTCTTTTATAATATGATTGAAGCCAATGTGAGAACACAGTTTATCTGCAAAATAATCACAGAGAGAAACGACCAAGGCTCAGATCTGTTTAAAATGGTTCCAACTGAGAGTGGGAGTGTGTTTACCCTTTGAAATTCTGCATAATCCAAATAAAACATAGCACAACAATATTAATAAAAAAAAAAAAAAAGTTATTTTGATGCCAAAGGTTTTTGTGCATAAAGCTGTCACTCGTGTTGCTCGCTCTGCTTCTGTGCTGATGCTTGTGTTGGTTCAGCATTAATCAGCAAAAAAATATACACAAATTAAAAAGAAAAAGATTTGGTTCTTTTAAAAATTAGATCGGGTTACAGCAGTTCACATTAAGAAACCGTTCAAAAGAGAAGACTTGAACGTTACATCACTAGTTGGGGGAGCTGAATCTTTAATAAGGGGGCCATGGCACTGCAGACTTGGGAAATAGTTGGTCTAATACTGTGGCTCACCAAAGACAAGATTTGGCTTTTCAAGTAGCACCAGATCCAAATGAAGTATATGACCGGACTATTTCAGGTTGAACCAGGTCTAAAAGTGGATTACATCATTTTCTCTGTGGTTCTAAAAAGAAAATTATCCAAAAGAGACGAAAAAGTTAAAATGAACTTTAAATTAGGCAAACCCACAAATTGAAAAGTCCTATCTGCCTGAAGGAGCTCACATACCACAGTTTGAGAAACTGGCCAACAGTAGCTCAGTGTTTGTCTTCTGATATCTTCCGAAGGTTGGTGGTTTGAATCCTGATCTCAACATAAATGCTGGAAAAACAACCCTACATGCCCTTGTTCTGCATGTTTTATCAATACTTTTTAGGATGTTAAAATATTATATATGTTATGATTA